TTTGAGAGGTAGCACAGAACTTAGGGACAAAATGGCATCCTCCATGAAAGGAAGAATATATTTAAATTTGATTCTCTATCTTGTCAAGTATATGTTGCACTCTGTTTAAAATAAACTTATGGATTACTATCTTTAGATGTATTTTATATAATGTGTATTCAGTATTAGCAAAATGACAGACTACAAAATAATATGGTAATTGCATAAGCAAACTATGAGGTTAAGGGGTAAGTTAAATAATAAATAATGTTTCATCTCTTTCAAATATATATACTTCAATTTCATTCATTGCCTTTTTATTTATTGCCTTTTTAGATGTTCTGGTAAAATTATAAAAATTTCTGAAACAAAGCAAAAATAGCTGTCAGTACTAGATAGGATTTTGCAGAAATAGATAGGATGAGGTGTGTGGTAACACCCAATAAAATGCACTTGCTTTCCTGTAAAAGCTAGCATGTTGTATCAGCAAATATGCGTACTACTGAAATTTCAGTGAATTTTTTCACTAAAGGGATTTTAATCTGAAAAGTATATGTGTGATATGAAAAGGGAGTATAAAATAATCTGATAATTCCGTAAAAATTATTAGCTTAATATCAAAACTTATGGGAAAACAATGATCTGAACTTTTTATTGTTAGGAAATGGATGTTTAAAAATAGACTGGTGATGAATGTGCTTAAATATAGCTGTAGTGGCTACCCGTTTCAAGCATCACCGTTTTGGATATCTTTATGTTCTTGTGCTAAGAAATCAAAACCTATGCATGGGTTTCTGTATAAGCTTACAATATATTATGAAAACAATTTATTAATATATTTACACTATAAACACATTTTCTTTCCCTTAGGTGAAAAATTTTGCTGTAATTTACCTCGTAGATATCACAGAAGTACCAGACTTCAATAAAATGTACGAACTGTACGATCCCTGTACAGTCATGTTCTTCTTCAGGTATATTTTCATTCTTACATTGCTTTTTAACTTGCATGTTCTCAGTAGGGTTTTTTTCAGTGGGGGTGGTTTACAATTCTTGCCTAATTGTGTATGTTATGTAATATCATTAAGCTACAATTTAAACCTAAAAGTAACTATTGGGATTGATGTTGTTATGCAATTGATATTATAATTTGCTAACTGGCAACAAACCAGTATTAAGTATCATAAAGGTAAGGCAAGTGGCATTTCCTTACAATAGGAAGTCCTTGCTTGCCTGCTATCTGGTTTAGCAATCATTCAAAGTTACAATGGGGGGGGGGGGGGAGGGACTCTATAGCTTTGCAGTCAATCCTTGCATTTATCACTGTCGCAGTGTCCCACAGTCATATTGGTGTGCTTTGCAACTGGCTTGCGATAAGCTGAGTTAATGGAGAAGGCAGAAGTGAAATCATAAATCATGGTCACATGATGTTTCACGTAATGCCCAAAGGGGAACTGAGATCATAAGCTTATCACAGTCACACCATTTTTCTGTTTAGCAATTGTGGCACTCAGTTACAGAATTTCTGGTTGTAATTGTGGTCATTAAAGTAGTACTGCCTATAATTAGTGTATCTCCAGTTGCCCCATATTTCATTCCTATTAGACAGTGCTTTGGGATCAAAATAGGTCATGCAAAATAGCTTGATAGAGTTTGCAATGAAGATGGCGCTCCCAGTTAGAATTATACATTGGTTTTTGCGTATCGTTTACAGAGCTGTTCCATACATAGTTAGTAAGAGGAAAATGCCAGCATAACTACTGGCCTTCTGTAGCAGTCAGACAGAAGAGCTTATTCTTTTCTGAAAAGAGAAATACTCTGGCCCACTACATTCTGTTAAGTGTGATGGAGTTTAGTGGGCCAGATTCCTAGGAGAGGGAGTACATGCCAGAGGATGACTCAGTTCAGATAGTTTGTGTGAGAGAAAGAGGGTGAATGTAGCCTCTCTGTAATAATTCCCAGAGTGTATGTTTTATGTAAGTTGTAGGCTGCTTCAGTTTGGCAAGATTTTAAGGAAACCTACTTGGAAGAATCACCAAGAATCTTTCTTGATTTTGGGGGGCCTGACATTGATCTTGCCAAACTGAAGTAGCTTTTATTCTGCATATATTCATGCATATATTCTGACAACTCTTAGAAAGGGTCTGTCTTCACCCGCTTTGTCTCATACAAATTATATGAACTGACTTGCCTCTTACTTTTCTGGAATGTACCTTCTCCCTCCTGGGAATCTGATCCACTGCATTCCGTTACAATAAGCCATGACTGTTAACTATTATTAATTTAATTTGGCATTAAAATATTTAGTTTTTCCTGACTTCATCAGTTTTCTTAACTGAGTGTTTTGTAGTTCTGGGAATGCATACGTTTGTGGAATTCTTTTCTGTTTGGATATGAATATGGGAAGTTCTTTAAATTGGTTATTTGAATTTGCTATATTTTGCTATATGACACTGTATGCCACATGGGGGTACATCCCATGCCAGGCAATGTAGCATTATTTCCAATAAGTATACATCGGTAAAAATTTAAGAAAAAGAAAATTTACAATATTAATAATGGGACACGACTACTTTCTGATCTTATTAAAGTCAACTACAGCCCACTGGGTTGGGATAACATTCCAGCCTGACTTCATTTGGGGGAAAAGAAGAGTTTGTATGTGTATGAATAACTATCTCACTTGGCTATATAAATATATGCAGAAATACTTTAGGAAGCATGCATTGTATAATTATTTTTTCTCCTTTTCTTAAAGAAACAAGCACATAATGATTGATTTAGGCACAGGTAACAACAACAAAATTAACTGGGCAATGGAAGACAAACAAGAGATGATTGACATCATAGAAACAGTTTATCGAGGAGCTCGTAAAGGAAGAGGTCTCGTTGTGTCACCCAAAGACTACTCAACCAAATACAGATATTGACTTTTTGGGCCATTTATTTCAAGTCACGTTTTTTGGAAACTTCTTAAACCCAGACTTAATATAGGACAATTCTTCCATGGTAACATTTCATGTGAATATATTGAACTGAGTAAATATGTTACCAGATTTTCATTGGAAAATGCCATTGATTTTGGAAATAAAGTTAAATTTGCTTTTGAATAAAGAACTTAAAAATGTCAAGTGCTTTCTAAAAACAATTCTATTTCTTCAATAATGTATTGTCTCTTTTTAAAAATGTATTTAGGAATGCACACAAACTTCTGGAATAGGCCAGTCATGTCTTATGCCAGTGTTTAAAACCTGCTGTAAAAGCCTAATCAAATGAGCCTAGTTTACCTTTGGCTTAGGTAGTCCTGAAATATTAAGTTATCTGGCACTTCACATTCTCTGCTATAAAATAGATTGTCATAAAAGCCAGAGAAGAAGCCTTGCTGATGATACTATGACCTATATAGGGCATCTGGTTTTTCTACTTTGATGTCCTCTTGTATTTAGGATCTGCTGATTAAAATGTTTTGGGTCCCTGTTAAAGCAGGTGTTGGAAGCTTTCAATGTATGAGTCATACCAAAATGGCTGCCTGCAGAGCTAGCCAGTGGTCTTCCTCTATCTTATGGACTAGGTCAGAGGTGTCAAACTGGATTTTTTTCAAGGGCTGGATCAGTACTGTAGTTCTCCTTTGGGAGGGGTGAGATGGGATGGATGCATCCTGCAGTACTTTGCTGGCCAAAAATGGGTGTGGAGGGGCCTGCATGCCCATTTTGGCTGCCAGAGTGCTGCAGGAGACCGCCCAGGCCAAAAATGGGCTGTGGGGGAGAGCTGGACTTGGCCCCTCCGTGCCGTTTTGGCTGCCAGAGACACCATGGGCTGGTCCTTTGCTATTTCCAGGACAGCCCCATGGGCCAGATTTAAACAACCCATGGGTCGGATCTGGCCCCAGGCCTTAAGTTTGACACCCCTGGCCTAGGTGAATATATTTCTTTTTCGGATGACGGGCTGAATGACTGTGAGTGGAAGGCTACATCTGGTTTACAGGCCATAGATTGCCAACCCCCAAATTAAATTTTTCTTTCTACACCCATGCTATTCTCTGAATGTTGAATAAAGTGTTTTTAATATGGGTGGCTTTTAGTATTTAAAATTTTTTAACTGCTGGAGATCACTGTGTAAAAAACCTTGAGTTCTTACAGGAAAGACAAAAACATCAAAAATATTTTATGTGACAAAAAAAATGTGATCCCTAAATTCTTAGTTATACTTCAAAAACATGACCCCATTTGAACATGTTCATGTGATGAATTCAACTATGTGCTCCTTTGGTAATGCTATTCACATACCAAAAGTGGGTACAAAATATATGGGCTTATATATCAGCATAAAACAGGTCAGTTTACTGTGTGGTCTTTTTATTTTTTGCTTAGTGTGATTAACAAATTGCAATTTATAAATAATATTTTATAACTTAGAGCACAAATATATCCAGTTTTTGCTTACTCATTAAACCATGATGAACCAAACTATGACTTAGCATGATATATGAAAAACGTCATCCAGGTTCAGGTTATATTTCTAACATGTTATCTAATTTCCTCAGTTCATTTACTGAAAATAATAATTTTGTTGTTAGTAAATGCGTACTCTGTCCAACTCCCAATAATTTGGGCAGTTTACAAGCAAAAACACAAAAGAAACAATACAATGTAATAAAAACAAGGAACAAAAGTCCTTACAAAAGGTAAAAGAGGAAGGAGAGGGCAGAAGCAAAACTATCCACTCCTTGGAAGGTACTACATTCATCATAGTCAAAGGTCAGGGCAAAAAGCCATGTGTTCAAGACCCTCTAAAACAACAACATAAAAACCACCTAGTTCTTATGGAGAACCTCATTCCAAGAGGGCAGGCACTCCAGCAGAGAAGATGCCCTTCTGGGTGCTAAGAGATGGTATTGCTTAATCAAAAGAATTGGAGTATGCAAAACCTGAATCAAATCTGCTAGTTACTGTGAGAGGTAGGCAGTACCTCAAGTAATCAGTCCCTGTGCTGTGTAAGAGTTCATAGGTAATTACCATCAGAGCAGTTCACAAAGCACAGGGTTATTACGTGGGCATATCAAAGCATATCTATTACTGATCTTACTCTGCATTCTGGATCAGTTGAAGTTTCTGCATAATCTTCAAGGGCAGTTCCATGTAGGATGTGTTACAATAGTTAAGCCATGAAGGAAAGGGTCTCCTATTCTTGGAATATTATTCAAAAAAAATCAAAGTAGAAATTGTTCAGAATTGCATTAGTGAGGATATAGCAACATCAGTTCCTAACACCTGATCCCAATAGAGGAAAACTAATCCAAGTAGAGATTACACAAATTTTAACTATTAGCATGGACTTTTACTCTGCTTTCTTCATACTTGATAGTTTTAACATCCATACATGATGTACCAAGAAAATGAACTTCAAGGAAAAAATGGAAACTACACTTGGTATAAAAGGTTATAAATATATACATACAAGAAAGTGTATGAATTGTCTTGAATTCAATGTTTATACAAAGTCTGTTTTCAATCTTTAATGTCAATCTTAAAGAAAAATTTCATGTTTTCCTTATTTATGTATTTATCAAATTTCTATGCTGCCCTTCACACTTGTGTGATTCTATATTACAGCAGTAAAATAAACCAGAAATATTTACAACTTTTATTTTTCTTTGTAGCCAATAATGTAGTGTACAAAAACATGGCTTGTATATCCATTAGTTATATATAGTCATAACAAATATCCTAAAATTGTACAAATGTAGACCATACTTAAAAATCTTCATGTTGTGTGCAGGGTTTCTTTGATGCCTTCAGTTCTGCATAAAATAATTAGCATAGAAACTGAATTAATATTAGGAAAATAAGATGTGAATTCATCCTATAAATAACTCTCAATCTTTGTACTTTCTTCCAACTGTGTGTATGAAAATAAGATAAATCTTTTATTTTCCAAAATTTTTAAAACACAGAAACATACTCTGATACCAGCTCAACATGCTAAACCTTTTAATCACCTGAATTATTTTTGTACAAATATGCATATTCACGCTTTCTTTACAAACAGATGAGTTCTAGCATTCTTGCAATCACTTCAAAGTTTTGCACTTAGTTATAACTTTTATTCTTGGAACTCTAGTAAACAAACGAATATTGAATAAATGAATGTGAACTCAGGCTAAGCAAAGATGGATCTACTGGAGTTTTTGATGGGAGATCTCAGGAATAATAGGTTAGACTGGAAAGTTGAAAGAAGATAGTGCAAACTTTGTGTTGTTCTATAGATTCATCAAGTATTGAGTTTCTTTGTGGAAATTCTTACCCTGCCATAAGCTAGCTGTGTTCTTCTGCTTCTATTAATACAAACAAGAAGCTTAAATTTATTGTAAAATATATTATAAAATATTTATTATTATTATTATTTTATTTATAGCAGATTTTTAGCTATTAGCTATTGCTTTAGCTATTTGTTTATATAAAACCAGAAACTCACCGTTCAGAATCTTCACTAGTATTTTCTATTCCAGCTTCAGCCATTAGTTCAGCAACATGTTTTTCCAAATCATTTATTCGTTCACCCATCTCATCCAGTAAAAGGTTAAAGAGCACTGCATTTTTAATTCATTTGTATTACTTTATAGAATCTGAGAAAAGAATACATGGCATGTATGTATAACTGGATTCACATTGGGTTTCTATTTTAAAAAAAATCCAAAATGCTGTTTGTTTCATTTTATCTTATTGATAAACAATTGAAAACAATTATTTTCATACTTCTTATCTGGTCTGAATGTATGCTACAGGATATTAAAAGCTTATAATATGTATAATATTGTAGTTAAATGTTTCAAGACTGAACATTATCTGAGGCAATATTGTCTTACTTTAAAAGAATATTGCTATTATTTAATAGTTTCCTGTATTCTGTCAATACTGTCTCAATTCATAAAGTTGAAGAGGAACATATAATAATCTCCTATGTAGGAGGATTTAATATATTTAAATTGATAACCATTAATGGTATTTTAAGAATGATGCATAACTATTTCTGTAAACTGAATTTTTTTTTTTCTAAAATTGATATAAATTTGCTAGGCTTACTGTCATATGCAACATTCCAATTTTTAGATTCTTAAGTGAAAAATTCAAATGATGAGTTGACATGCTATATTACAAATGGGAAGTTGACATGTGATAGCTATGCTATAAAGTACCAGCTTCTGAAATTCTATTTATAAAGACTTTAGATCCCCACAAAGGCTCCATAAGTATTCTTTGGAAATAAAAATGATGAGTGGCTAAAATCTAGTGTTTTGTTTTAGAAAAATGTCCTCTTGTACAAAATTCTTATCAGAAAATAACCTGATGGATAATTCACTTCTAGCTTCCAAAATCATTCCCTATCATCTTCCAGTTTACCTTTGTACCTGACAGATGATGATAAACATATTTTGGAAACATTTAGGGATTAGCCAAGCTGATTACAAATGATTTCACACATTAATTTTAGAAAAGGATCCAAAAAGGATATTTTGTAGAGATAATTTATCAGTCAGATCTTCAAAGTTTTCTTGCAGCTGTTGTAGAAGATTTTCTGCCTGTGGGTGAAGAAAATACACCTATGATATTAGACAAGTTACCATATTAAGCTACTTCCTGGACTTACCCAGCCTTACTAGTGTTATTGTTTACAGTGCACAAAAAAAGATGGCAATCTTTTATTTGAGGAACAGCTTGATTTCGTCTACTGAGTATGATCAAGGAGGGAGTTCCCTTAAAATAGCTAATATATTTGTGAAAATACTAAGAAAAGGAGTTAAAAAAAGGAAGCATCACACAAAACAGAATAGATATGCAGAGATTATACCTAACTTTTATATTGAAATGTTCTTATAGGTCGCAAATATATTGTAAGTACATGTGTGATCAAAATTCAGGTGCTTAGCAACTGATTCCCATTTATGACAGTTGCTGTGTCCCAAGTCACCCTTTGGTGACCTTCTGACAAGAGAAGTCCATGGAGAAGCCAGATTCACTTTAACAACCAGGCTATTGATTTAACAGCTGCACCGCTTCACTTTAAAAACCGCGGCAAGAAAGGTTGTAAAGCGGGGCAAAACGCAATTCAGAAATGCCTCACGTAACAGAAATGTTGGGCTTCCTTGTGGTCGTAAGTTTGAGGACTACTTGTATGTATGTCTGGCGGCTTCCTGCAAGAGCCGCCACACCCATTCGCGTCGTGCGCGATACCAGCCGCGAAGCCTCGGACTAGCGTCGGCCGTACTCACAAACTGAGAGAGCTCCCTGGCGCTCGGAGAGTCCTTGTCCGCCATGCCCTCTTTCTCCACCTGCGACGGCGTCGCCGCCGTCGCTTGACTAGCTCGCTCTTTTCTGCTCCAATTGCCGCCCCAGACGAGAGGGAAGCGGCCCCGGAGACAAAAGCCGCCTCCCTGCCACCTTCCGAGTTTAGCAGCCGGGCTTTCTCTTCGCCGCCACGGTTACACGGGTACGCCCACCGGCGCTGCAGGAAGAACCAATGCAAAAAGAAGACTTTTCTACTCCTCCGTGCCACGTGCCCGACGCGTCATTACTTTGCTTGCCTGCGTTTCGGGAGTTTAGAAAGGATGTTAAATTTCCCTCTTGGGACTTTCAGTCCCAGCTCACCTCTAAGCGGCGAAAATGTCATTTTTCTCCCCCCGTTTTTAAAGTTTGAAAGATGCTATTGGTTGCTAAGCTGAGCCTTGGGATATGCTTGACGGTCAGTCAAAATTAGCAGAGGACTTACCTGGATGATCAGCGGCCAGCAAGAGAGGTCTTGAGTTGTCGGTACTATTATTACGGTACTATTCATAGGAGTATTATAGTATTTAATTGTTTTTTATTGTTTTAAAATGTTTTTTTTAGTATTTTGCTTGTAATTTATTTTTTAATTGTAAGCCACCCAGAGTCATCGACGGAGATGGGTGGCTATAGAAAATGAATTAATTAATTAATGAAAAATATTTCAGTTGGAATTTTCTCCCCCACTGTGGTAGGACTCCTAAAAAAACCCAGACATTAAATGGGGAAACAGTTGTATCTGCAGAGACACAACTTTAAACTGCCTGGGAGTCTGATGCTTTTAAAGGTTGGAGAAAACTCCTGAGAGAACAGCCAAGAAAACAAATAAATGGATCATTGAACAAATCAATGATCAAATTGTCCTACTTTACACACGCATTACGTATGCAGAGACCTATCCACTGTTCTAATGCTGAGAAAGGTGGAAGGAAAGAGAAGAAAGGAAAACTGGCAGCAAAGTAGATTGGTACAGTGCGATGGGTTGGAAGATCTGAAAAACTGGGTTTGGGGTGAGTTTTCATGGGGCGGGAAAATCTATTTACAATATGTGATTGCTAAGAGTTTATAGCAACTTAATCAGACACCTACCCATCTTTCAAGAGAAGAGCACTTTGGTCAAATGATATTCCATCTTTCATTCACAAGCTCAGGATAGATCTATAATGCTCCCATTCTTCTTTTTCCCCATAGCAGCTGTGTAGATAGTTCTGGATGTAGAAAGTAAATGCATAGCGTGTGAATGGAACAAACCTTTCTTGTTGGAAACAGAAATATGTAAATTATTGTTTAATATGTTTAACATATACATCTAGAAAGCCTTAGGCAAATAACAACTAGTCTATCCTAGTGTAACATTTATTTATTTATTTGTTTGTTTGTTTGTCTATTTTATTTGCCACCATCTCATCACAAGGAGACTGTGCCAAAATCCTTATAAGAAATGTTGTGGTGAAATCAACTAGGTCCAAATAAATCTTAATTTTAATACCAGGAGCTGTTTGTTTGGAAAAACAAAGGTATTCTCAAAAGCTGTGCTGCCTGTGTTGAAATTAAGATACACAATTCTTATAAACAGTGCACACTCACATATGGCACTACCCAAGACAACAGCGTGGACGCAGCAAAGAAGTTTATTCATGTATTTGCAAACACGAGTGCACCGAAGGTGAATGTGGAAGAAAGCATCAACTTTTATGACCTTACATAAGTTCATTTCCCCCTCCTCTTTTTGACACAGCATCCTGCTCAATTCTCCTAAAAGCCATGTCCACCTCTGTTCAAAGAATTTTAAAAGTTCACCATAACCTTTTTCCTTGCTAGCATAAGCTCTATTGTTATTTTTGTACTTTCTTTGCTTGCTGTTTTGGCTGGCATTCAGGCTCGCTAGGCTTGTGGTTCTTAGCTGTTAGCTGCTACATACAGGTAATTTGGAAACAGTTTATAATTGTTCCATTTGACTTATCAAACGTTTACCTTTTAGAAACAATAACAACTCCATTTTCTAACACCCTACCATCTTAAACTCTCAAAACTGGTAACAGTTCCTTAAAGCCTGTTGCAAGAAAAAAAAAGCGACAACCTGCCTGACTTTAGCTTGAAAACTAAGCAGGACTGAGATTGGTTAGCCTGATTTTTTTCCAAGGAATACAGATAGTCCTTGACCTGCAACCATTTGTTTAATGACCATTGAAAGTTACAAAGGCACTGAAAAAGGTGAATTATGGCCATTTTTCACACAACTGTGGCAGCATTCCCATGATCACATGATCAAAATTAGGACACTTGGCAACTGGCATCTATGAGTCACGTGGTCACTTTTTGTGACCTGACAAAGTCAGTGGGGAAGCCAGATTCACTTTACAATCTTGTTACTAACTAAATAACTTCATGATAACAACTATGACAATAAAAGTTGTAAAATGGGGCAAAACTCATTTAACAACCGCCTTGCTTAGTGATGGAAATTTTGGGCTCAATTGTGGTCATAAGGACTACTTGCATCAGAACTATGGGCTAGATTTTGAAGTTTAAAAAGACACACACACACACACGCACATGCACACACACACACATATCCCTTAAGTATATAGATGGCTTGCATGCACTGAAGAAACATGAGACTGGCAGGACAGGTTTTACTAGAACAAGGCCATTTTTGTTTGTAATAGTAATTCTGTTCTGGGTCACCTAACTAGGAAGTTAGGAAAGGAGGATATCGTCATGCACTCAGAAGTATTTTGAGAAGGTCAGAACAAAAATAGCTAGGATGAATAGAATCAAAAAGTAAATATTGTATCAATAATATGAATGTTAATGGTCTAGTAATATGTTTGTATGTATGGCAATGTAATGCCAAAACGGTTGCACTGTGTTGTATACTTATAGTTGTAAATAATAATAATAATTTTTTACACACACACGCACACACACACACACGCACACTGCCCAGGGAATTTTTTGTTATCTGTGTAGTCCCCAACTAGATCGGCCCATTTCAAATTGATCTCTCTTTTTGCTGCTTCTTCCCCAGCCCTTTTGTGGCAACTTTGGCTAGTTCTGTCAGTATACTGAGACTTATCCTGCTGACAGACAGGATCATGAGCTCATTACATATTTTTCTTTTCAATTTTCCGTCGAGTTGGAAAGGGTAAAAAAGAGACTCCAATTGGATTAAGGAATTGAATTTAAAAACAACAGTGATTACATTTTTTTTATTTACACACCAGGGAAAGCATTTTTTCTCCAAATTACATGCGAATTGAAGAAACCTTATTTTGCCTGAGGATACTGGGAAATGCTATTGAAAACCAACACACGGAGGAGTGTGCAATTGACTGCAGAGCTAGCTAATGAAAAATTGGAGCATCTTCACAGGAGTCTGGATTTGATGAGAGGGAGAAGTGGAGAATGATATTTTTGGTTGCTAGTAAAGGAAAAAAAATACTGTTTGTTATTTGTGGGGGGGAGGGTGTCAGCCAATGCAAAATGATTGGGATTACAGGAAAACGTTTGGTCTGGCTCTCTTCAAATCTGACAGTAGCACTGATAATTTTTTTTCAAGAATTAAGTCAATTGGATGGTCATTTAACATTGGTTGAATTCCAAATGTGGGTATGGCCAAGGTCACTTTGGGGTGGGAAGGTCAGGAATTTTAAGAGGAAAATGAATGAAAAATCTGTATGCTTTAACACAACCATTGTGACCTTTAAAATCTGCTGTATTCAAAAGAAGAAGAAAAGGCATTTTTTAAATCCACCGATTTTGAAGGATCTATGGAGTTCACCAAAGGGAGACTAACTAATTGATGGCTTTTTGTATTTGTTCTGTGGGGTAACTTGCAAAATGCTGTTCTTGGATCTTGAAGGAATAGGAAGCAGAAATAAGACTTCTGTATCTTCTGGATTTTCTTTCCCAGATATTCTTTTGCATTAGTTCTCTAATGGTAGAAATTTGGCATGTTTAATTCTATGCTCCCATCCAGCTTCTGCAAAGTAGAACATCGGAGTGGAATTTCTTGAGCTTTGTGGATCCAATGCATACCAGAACCTAAGCTGATGTTTTAATTGCCGGTTTAGAAAGTAAGTAGAGTTCCATTGATTGTGTTGCTTGTTTACTATATTTATATAACAACACACTCTGAGCCAGTTTGATGCAGAACAGTACTTCTCAACTTTGAGAACCTTTAAGATATGTGGACTTCCAACACTTTCAACCTGCCAAGTTTGAAAAACATTGGTATAGAGGTTAAGGAATTAGATTAAAAACTGGAAGATGGTGAGTTCTAGTTCCACATTAGGCCCAAAGCCAGTTGGGTGCCCTTGAGCCAGTCAGTCATTCTTACTCCTAGGAGGGAGGCAACAGCAAACCACAGCTGAAAAAATTTCCCAAGAAAGTTGCAAGGACTCGTACTAATTCTACCACCTTCCCAAACTCCCCTCTGTGAACTCAGAACATTGAGTTTAATGAAAAGATACATATCCTAACTTCAGCTCTTAGAAGGATTCCAAGTCAGCTTGTGAGGGTTTTATTTTTCCCCTACACACACATTTACTCTTGTCATTTCTGCTGCTGAAAGACTGTTACTTTATTTCATTTTATTTTGTCTGATAAAACATTTGATAAAGGAAAAGCTCTTTTGACCTTGTAACACTTTTGAATAATAACTTCTCTATATATATTATCAAGTTCCAGGGTACATGATTTCTACTTTATGGAACAGAATGAGAGCTGGGCTTCCTATTTTTATATTTCCTTCCTGTCTCAGTGGGAGGTGATTTTTGCAAGACATTGTTGATTGGGGCTGCTTGGTGCCAACTCTATATAGTTTTTTAGAAGCAAGTCCTTTGAACTATATCGGATTTGTTGCTGAATAGAGTTAAATACAGTTTTACAGAGCTCTTAAAAAAAAACTCTCAAGGTGCTAATGACCTTTAGTTTTATGGAGGTTTTTTTTTTTAACCAGAAAGGTTTGAAGTTATTATACCACTTTCACTGAAGGATGCCTTGAATATTTCATAGGAAGCTGAGACATAGTTACCAACTAGTAACAGTTGACAAGAATTTACATAACAGTAGTTAAAATTTATAGTTTTGTATGCCGCCCAGTCTGTTGGAATTGGGTTGCTGTAACGAATTTGAATAAATAATGATAGGAAACAACTCTAAGGCATTTAGTGCAAGCACAAACATGTCTATACCCTCCCTCTCCTCTCATATTTTCTTTCTTCACACTTTTTCTGTTAAAAATAGTACATTACCGCCGTGATTATGACATTTTAAAGAAGCAAGCAGCTCCGGATCTATTTTTATTCTACATGAAACATGCTCACTTTGTGAGACATAATATGACATTTGCTCTGTACGCTATTTTTCCAACAACTTTCTTGTATGTGACGAGGAAGGAGGAAAAATCCCATTATTTTATGGGGGGTGTTCCCCATCTTCATCCTTGCTTTGCAGAGAAAGAACGAGCTCGGTGATCCGTTTCGGAAATCTGTGATTTCCCCCTCACGCGTTTCCCAGGATTTTAGCAAGTCTCCTTCTCTCGGGAACAGGTCGGGCGCTAGGACTCAAACGAGGAAAGGCCAAGGAAGGGCGGATTTCTTCATAGACGGAGCCGCTTCAGCTTCTAATGATGTCACAGAGGCGGGGCTCATTTTATCGCTGCTGGCGGCTGCCGCTGTTAGCTCCTTGTTTCCAGTCGCCCAGGGAGGCGGCGGGAGCAGCAGCTGCAGCAGCAGTAGCGCCTGTGGCTTTGGGCGCCCCTGGCAAAGGAAAAGGGCGCAGCGCAGCTGTGGTTTCAGGGCAGTCTGAGGCGGGAGCGGCGCCCCAGGCTGGGGCTCCCTCGAGCAAGAGGGGGAGATGCGCGATTCTTGGGGCGAGGGGCCTTAGTGAGAGCCCAGGTAAGGAGGAGAGGGCCAGCCCCCTTTCTCCCTCTTTCGGTGGGGGTGGGGGTGGGCTAAGGATTTCTCCGCCCTCTCTGCTTTTGGGAAGCCGGGCAGTTTGGCGGAGTTGCTAAGGGAGCGTGGAGGGGAAGCAGAAGTCGCGGTTGGTGTCAGAGCCGCGGTTGGCCATTCAGAGAGGAGCGGAGGGGGAAAAAAACCACTTGGGGGGGGGGGGGGAAAAGTGGCTTTTTCACTTCCTCTCCCTTCCCTTCCCTTCCCTCGTAAGGCAGGGACTGTGGCTAAAATGGTCTGGCTAGAAGTCTCAGCTGGGACTCCGAAATTTGGGGTGCCAGTTATTAGCAACCTGGTCTGTTCAGCTGAAGAGGCAGAAAATCTGAAAGTGGGGGAGCCTTGCCTTCTTCAGTTCCTGGGATCTCTCCTCTAGGAGCAGAGAATGCACACTTATTTCTTTCACCTCTTCATTCGCTACTTTTCATGATTTCATAGATCAAAGCCTTCCTATTCTTTTTTGTTTAACTGCATAGGTAGTCCTTGCAACCATCTGTTTAGTGACCATTCAAAGTTACAACCGCACTGAAAAAAGTGACTCATGACTATTTTTCCACGCTTATAACTCTGTTGCAATATCCCCATGGTGATGTGATGAAAATTCGCATGCTTGGCAATTGGCATGTGTTTATGACAGTTGAATTTTATCATGGGGTCATTTTGCCATCTTCTGACAAGGTGGATGAGGAAGCCAGATTCACTTTACAACTGTGGTTAAAGGTTGCAAAATGGGGCAAAGCTCACTTAACTGTCCCGTTTAGCGGTGGAGAGTTTGGGCTTGGTTGGTAGTTGTAAATCGAGCACTATCTCTCTTAATTTTCCTGGACAAGCAGGAAATTGTTTCCCCTGACTAGAAGTTAATACGGCATGTTTCGAGAATGACTTACAATAATTAAATACGCCTTTTTAAGTTGCATGCCCTGCAGGGGAATTGGGTGTACAAATCCCGGAATTCCCTGTGATCTGACTGGGCATTCTGGGAGTTGCAACTGTTGTTCCGTCTTTACAGCATTATGGGGCCCAGGCAAAGAAGTGTACTGGGGCCTCTACGACAACTACTCACAGGAATAAAAACGTAAATGGTCGATAAAATTAAACATTTTATTGGCACTTCCAACAAAATCGGTATTATTTAATAAAATAACACCGATTAATTAAAAAAATGCAGTCAAATGTGATAAATATGCTGTTGTATTTATATGATACAAGGGGCATTGAAAGGTTAACATACACAACTAGTATGGGGCCCCTATGCAAGTGCCCATCAGGCTCATGCATTAAGACAGCCCTGCTGTTGTATCTGTAGTGTGTGCCTGGGGGAGGAGAAGATGAGTTTGTTGATTGAAAACAATTTTGATTGATGGCAATAACTCCTAATGAAAGGAAAACAATGACAATGTAATTTGCTAAATAAGAAAGTTATTGAGAGTTCAATTGGCAAGTGAGGGTATTTTGAAAGAGATTTTCTCTCTTGTTTACAAGAAGGAATGCTTCCTGCTTATTTTCTGAAAAGGGATAATTTTAAAATACTCTATAACCATGCTAATTGGAGTAAAAATCTTGTTTGTATTGCTGTTGACCAAATAAGTAAACAGCAGTTTAACAGTCTCTCTGTAGAATTTCTACTCACGATTGTAGGAATTCTCAACCATTGGAAAGTCTATTTTGTAAGAGGTGAGCCATGTTAGTTTATGAGGACTAAAAATCCTATGGAATCTGATAGCACCTTTCTTAACTAACACATTTAATTAAAAGCTACTAGATTGCTTCTGATTCATCTCTCATTAAAATATGTGCCTTTTTATTATGGACAGTAGTTGTCTTACAAGTATCATCAGTCAACAGTGTTACATGTTTATGCCATTAATTATAAGTGTGCTATCCAATCTGTGGAATTTTTGGTCTACTATATTATAAAAATATGCAGACCTTTAATGGAGTTAATCTGAAAAAGCTTGCTAGGCTGGAACCAGTAACACAACAAATGAGCACATTTTATATCATGAGTATTAAGCGATAAGTTTTAACAGATATATTTTGTTAGAAAACTTACTTTTAGGATTGTTAAGCTTGACAACTCAGACATTTTGTTTGAATGTCAGCATGGTGGAGCAAGCACTAGTTTAGACAAATAATTGCCTTTTTTCTAGATCATTATAATATGACTAATTACTTTCTAATTGTGCAACTGAATATTTCCATGCAAGTTTTGAGTTTGTCTCATCTCACTTTGTTTTTCTAGGGTTGCTTAAAGAATGGCATATGGCCTATTGGAAGATTAATCAGATATGAATAAAAGTCAGTAAATCCTGAGGAAGTAATAAAGGAGCTTCCCTTTTGTTACCTACTGTACTCATGCTAAGGGACATCATCCTACCCATGATGGAAGCAGATGGCTGGGAATGGCTGGTAACTGCAGTTCAACAGCTGATATCCTGGGGGGCTTCGGCAGCCATGATGTTTGGAGGTGTAGTACCATACATCCCTCAATACCGCGATATTAAAAGAACACAGAACGCAGAGGGCTTTTCAACCTACGTGTGCTTAGTATTATTAATTGCAAACATTTTAAGGATACTCTTTTGGTAAGTTGCTTCTTTTTTAAAAACTACATTTCTTTCTGGATGATCTATTAATACCTGAAAAAGAAAAGTGTGTGTGTGTGTGTGTGTGTGTGTGTGTGTGTGTGTGAGAGAGAGAGAGAGAGAGAGAGAGAGATATTTACTGTGCTGCTAAATTCCATGAAACTCCTTTGAAGTATAAGTGATATATCAGCTGTATTTGGCCTCCCTCTGGGTCCTTTGTCAATATTTCATGAGTATATTCAAAAGGATAATGGCGTTTTTGTGGTTGCCCTAAACCTGTGATACCTAATGAAAGTCCTAAATTTGTGATATCTAATAATTGAAATATACTGTACATGCTGAATTGGAAAGTTTGGTTATTTTTGTCATGCTAAAGTTGCCAGGATTTGAAAGCGTGCAAACCTAAACAAAAGCTCTTTTGAAACTAGCTGCAGAGGGTTTAGTAATATTAATATTCATCTAGCAGACATAGTATAAGCTTAATGAACAATTAAATGTATTATGAAGAATAAGGCTATGTGGCATTTTAGAAAGGGGAAAAAAAAATCCTTCAAAAGCAGGCAAACGCCAATCAGACCTGTGTGCAACTCCTTAAATCAAAAATGCCTTTACGTCAGATCAGATGGCAGTCTCGTGATTCTTGGAAAACGACAACGTCTTAAGATGTCAGTCAAGTGCTGTGTATTTATCCCCATATACTCTAAAGCACTTTTTACCATTGACTTCGAAATCTGCTCAGCCCTACCAAAAAATATCCTTAAATAAGGTTAAAAAAAAGGTAAAGGTTTCCCCTGTCCATTTGGGTCAGTGCTAATTTCTGTTTCGTAGCCTAGGGAGCCAGCATTGTCTGAAGGTATTCCTGTGGTCATGTAGCCACATGATGTGTCCCGGGGTGCACGGAATGCTATTATGTTCCCATCACTCCTAGACTGGTGTCTGAATAGCACAGTCATCTGTCAGCCTTTTGTTCAACTTCAGAAGACTCATCTTGGTTTTACAGCAAATCATCTTTCATCACAATGTAACTGATCAATGTTTATAACATACACATAAAGGAAACTATTAGCCCTAGATATTTATGGTAGTTTGATCCATGAATCTTGAGGATGACTTTTAATTTGGTTACAGATGACCTTTTAGGAAGTATTGCTATAACTTAAGAATGTAATGCAGAATGAAGCACTTAGAGACAAATAGAAGTATTGTTTTTCTTTCTTTGCTGCCTGAAGGAGAATTAGATTTTTATTATTTGCTTTATGGTTGTGTTTGGAGATTGATCTTTCATTAAACAATTCTGTGTAAAGGAATAATGAATGTTCTTTGAATCCTTATTGAGCTACACTCATCAAGACTGTCGTTGAAATTAGAGATAAGAATGAAGCATATTGTCCCCTTAGAAGTTGGTGAAGTCTCTTTTGTTCCTATCAATGTGTCTAGTGTACAGGATGATGAGAAATAAGAAATCTGCCTTCATAAATGTAAGATAATAGATGCCTCCCCAAAACATCTGCTACATCCTTTTATAGGAATATTATAGACAAGTGTTAATTAAATTTGAACATGTCACTAGTTCCAAATATGCCTATTTAAAAGTAAGGACTTAATACAAGTCAGACAAAATACATGGCTTTCAATGTTGTTATGATGAAAATTGGGGTACAAATTGTACCATGAAATAAATTTGAGCAGTTGAGGAATATTACTCTTGATGTTCATGTGTTGAGGTTCCTTAGCATGAAATCTGTACTGTATAATTTATATTTTTAAATCAGACCAAAGGGAACAGATAATGTAAGCTTGGACATAACCATCTGTTTTTAAGCCAGGATTTGATAAGAAGATTATGAAATATTAGGTACTCTTTTTGCTAAGGATTTTTTTTCTTGGAAAAAAATGCACTTGAAGTATTCATAACATTAGTTGCTGAGCTGTTTTATGGAGTACAGTACCTGTACAGCTGCTGAGTTATATATTCCTTCGGATAATCCAAAGGAATTACCAGGTTTCTTCTATTAGTGTTTTGCTTGCAATGAAATCAGTTGAGTGCTTTCCTGTTTCTATGTATTTGGAAGGGGTGGGGACAGACTTATTGTTTTCTGGCCGATAGAAAACACAACTCCAACCTTGCCCCAGCTCTGGGAAAGAATAATTGGCAAAAATAAGGAACGAGGAAACAAAACAGGCTAGTTAGGTTATATAGCCTACCTAAATGCCTTTCAGCTGAGTGTTAGACAAGGTAAGCGCTGAGCCCAGAATCCCCTCCTTTAAAACTAGACCTAAATCAAATAACAACGCAAGGGTGGTATAAATGGGCTTGTCAGATGGATTTATCAGTGACAGGTGTTTAAAAAGATCGACTGTCAGTTTTAATGGTGCATTTCTTTTATGCCAGCTAGTTGCCAGATCTTCTTTCTGATGATGGTTGTATTTTTTGCTACTGGTGATTGCAAACAGTGCTGCTTTCCTCTCCTCACACCTTTTTAGATTTTATAATTATGGGGGAAAGGCTGTATTTTAAAGGACTTTTAAAAGGTTGACTCGTGTAAGTTTTCCACTTCCAAGCTGCCCTATTATATAGTAAATTTCAAGAAAGGGCAATTAATGTTTTGAAGCTCCCTTTTGCACTTTCTCTGGATTATCTTTTGCCTCTCTCTCACACACAGGACAAGACAACTGTACATTAGCCTCTAGTAGATAATTTGATCAAAACAATTTACTGTGGCATTTAATGGAGATCCTATCGTTTATATTAATACATGCTTAGAGAAAGTTCAGGAAATGAAGAATTGTATTGGTGTTGATTGTTATTGAGTCCTTCTGTTGAATATTATTAATGGACTGCTTTTAGAGAAAGGATACTCAGATTTTTCAATTTACTTTGGTTTACAGGTAGTCCTCAATTTACAATCACAATTAAGCCCAAATTTTCTGTTGCTAAGTGAGATATTTTTAAAGTTCATTTTTCCCCATTTTACGACCTTTCTTGCCACAGTTGTTAAATAAGCAACATGGTTGTTAAGTGAATCTGGCTTCCCCATTGACTTTGCTTGTCAGAAGGTCGCAGATCACATGACATGGGGCACTGCAACCGTCATGAATCAGTTGCCAGTTATCTTACTTGATCATGTGACCAAGGGGATGCTGTAATGGTCATAAGTGTGAAAAATAAGTCACGTTTTTCAGTGCTGTTGTAACTTCAATAGTCACTAAACAAACTTGTAAATCGAAGACAATCCATATTATGCTATTGCTTTCTTTTTTTCCAATCAATGGGCAATGTAATTATAGCTTGTAGTTAAAAAACATTGTGAATGATTATAGGCATGGAAAATATGTAAAAATAGTTAAACAGTAATAATTAACAGTTTGCCCTTGAAAGTGGGACATCCTGTTAAAAAGGTTTTAAGTATACATCTGTTCATATTTGTTTGCCTAGAATCATAAGTCATAACTATATATAGATTATAGTGCATTAATATTCACCAGCTGCAATAAGAGTAGAATTATGACTATCATAAATCTAACATGCTGCAGTAAAAATCAGCGTATGATGACTGTGCTTTACAACTTTATTTTCAAATATATATTGTTTATCAGCAAGAATTGTTAGTGCTTATAGATATTTCTGGAAGAACTTGAATATCAAACATTTTTTCTTTATTTAATTTCTATACTAGTCTTTCTTTTAAGAAAACCAAGACTTATTGCAAACTCTGGGTTTATGATCAGAAATCTGCTGCTACACTCTGTTGATATTCCAGTGCAGTTATTCTGTCAACCTCACTAGATTGACACCAGAAAATTTCTTAGAGGGTATTTTTTAACCTGATTCTAAGGAATTGTTGAGGAGACTTCATCTTAAATGCATCCTTTGCTTGGTTCACAATAATATTGGCTAGAGCTATGTTGTTAAAAACATATCAGATTATTTGACTTTGGTTTAATGTGTGGAGTAAATGTTTATTGGGGGTTATTTACTAGATACTCTTCTCTGATGAACTGCCCCAAATCTGGACTTTTAGGTCAGGGGTTTCCAACCTTGGCAACTTTAAGACTTGTGGACTTCAACTCCCAGAATTCCTCCTCCAATCATGTTAGCTCAGGAATTCTGGAAGTTGAAGTCTACAAGTCTTAAAGTTGCCACAGTTGGAGTCCCCTGCTTTAGGTCTTCTAATGATGCACCTGTCACCAGTGTAAATGAGTCCATCCAATTTGCTGCTGGTCTTCTTCTTATCTTTTATCTTATCTTTCCCAGCGTAAGAGCTCTCTTCAGAGCGCTAGGTCTTTACAAAATATGTCTGAAGTATGATCATTTCAGCCTGGTAATTTATGCCTTGTGTGAAAAAACTGGGTTGATTCTTTAGATGGTCCATTTTTATTGGCTGTCCATGGTGTTCTTGAGAGTCTTTTCCAAAGCTGAACTTCAAAAGCATCATCTTTCTGTCATGCTTCTTTCAAGACCAACGTTTGACCAGAGAACACCATTTATATACAGTACTCATTCTGCTCTTAAAGTCTCTTGTTTCTCACCTTACAAAACACATACCCAAGAATTAAAAATTGAAGCAGTATTGGAAATTAATGATACTAATCATAGTACAGCTCATATAAAAATAGTTTCTGATTTGTTTTTGGTGGAAAGTATTTCTTGGCTCAAGTACTTTGGTCACCAAATGAGAAGAGAGGACTCATTGGAAAAGACGCTGGTGCTGGGAAAGATTGAAGGCAAAAGGAGAAGAGGACGGCGGAGGATGAGATGGTTAGATAGCATAATTGACAAAATGAACATGTATTTGGGCAAACTCTGGGAGACAATGAAGGACGGTGGGGGGGCTGGCGTGGTATGGTCCATGGAGTTGCAAAGAGCCAGGTGCAACTTAGTGACTGAACAACAACAAACCCTTTTGTGATTACAGCTAGCTTTTATCTGTTGGATTTCATATATCTTTGAGGGTAATGTTTAGCCCAAATACAGAAGGAGTTGGGACAGTTTTTGACTGCTGGATATTATTGCCTAATATCCGAGTCTCACCAACAAAAAGAATTGTCAGGAAGCTCTCACATATGTTGAATAAAGATGGTTCAGGTAGTTTATTGTTGAAAGGAAAGATTCCATTCCATCATGGGTATTTGGAGATGCCCTTAAAACTCCAGGCAAGATAGCCCCAGTGATCATACTTGAACTTCTGTAAGCACTCTCCCTGAATTCTCTCCACGTTTCTGATTGACTGATTTTATATATATGAAATTACAGATGTCCAAAAGCAAGAGAGACTGTGAGGGATGAGGGATGAGTTGGTTGCTGCAAAGTTTCCTGAAAGAAACAATAGGCTTTACAGGCTATCTTTGACTTACAACTATAATTGAGCCCCAAATTTTTGTTGTTGAGACATTTGTTAAGTGAATTTTGCCCCATTTTATTATCTTTCTGGCCTCAGTTGTTAAGCAAATCACTGCAGCTGATAAGTGAGTAACACGTTTGTTAAGTGAATCTGGCTTTCCCATTGACTGCTTGTCAGAAGGTCACAAAAGGGGATCACATCATCTTGGGACACAGCAATGGTCATAAATATGAATCAGTTGCCAAGCATCTGAATTTGATCGTATGATCATGGGGATACTGAAAAGGTCATAACTGTGAAAAATGGTCATAAGTCACTTTTTTCAGTGCCGTTGTAACTTTCAGCGTTCATTAATGAACTGTTGTAAGTCGAGGACTACCTGTATAAGTGTTTACACACAAAAATAATCTTAAGCAATACATCTTGAGCCACTGGAACGATCTGTGATTCCTATGATGAAGTTAGTTATGTTTTGTTGCTGTTGTGAAACCCAGCAATTACTATTTGTTAGAATAGTAGTGAAAACTATCCTGCTCATCATAGATTATGATATTCCTCCTTTCCCCCTTTCTCATCAGGTCAGGAAACAAATCTTTTGGGGGGATATCTTCTTGATGATTTACTAAAATAACCCCTTCCCATTCCTGTCAATCGCTGAGCATTTTAGAAGAGAACAAGTTTCTTCCCCTTTTCTTGCTTTCTCGGTTTGCCTTTTGTTTTTATTTAGTAGAGACCAGCAACTCTCCTTTGTCTTTTCATTCCAGACATTGGATGGTACAAATGCCCAGTCACGCAAATGCAAGCAAATTCTTTCTCCCTGTTTTGTCCAGAAACCTTGTTTTCTCTGCCTGTTCTCTCTATTCTGTTCTCTGTGCCTATGGGAAACAATGCAAAAGGTGCTTGCCTTTAGGACATTTGCATGTATGTATACGAAAATGCTGCATTTGCTAAATTCCTCTTTCTGCTGTGGTAATAAGCCAGGATGCTAAATTCACCATTGCCTTTCCTGGAACTCATTTTGTCTCTCCAAACTTGAATGACCCAGAGACAGTTAAGATCTTTTATGTTTATCAACAAACTTGCAAGCACACTTCTTAGTCTTTTATTGCTTTGTGTGCTGTTAGACTCCAGTGTTCTTTAAACTGTATTTTTGAATTGCTAATTATAGTTTCATTTTTGGATTGTCTGAACCAGAGGTGGTATTCAGCAGGTTCTGACCAGTTCTGGAGAACCGGTAGCAGAAATTTTGAGTTCAGAGAACTGGCAAATACCACCTCTGACTGGAGATTTTACAGTATCCTTCCCCTGCCACGCCCACCAAGCCATGCCCCCAGAACCGGTAGTAAAATTTTTTGAATCCCACCCAATGCCTTGTTAATCAAGTGCAGAGGTAAGACCATTGGAATTGATGCTGAAGGAAGCCCAATTAGTCGCACCTGCCACAGTGCAAATAAATATTACAAGGCTGAGATTTTTTTAAGTGATACTTTAAAAAAAACATGAATATTAAGTATTAATTTAATATATTTAAAAAGTTTATGAAGCTGTTACAGGTATATGATTTTATTAATGATCAGTAAAGGCTTAAGAGGAGAATGGATCTCCCCCTAGTGGTTTTACTGGGAGAAACTGATTTTCTATGCATAGATTTCAGTACACCGGCAAAAAAATTGTATTTAAAATTAAGAATGGCTATTTTACAATCGTCACTTTGTAAGGTTAGGAAACTCAGAAAATATTACTCTTAATTTGTTAATTTTATGATCCTGTGAAAATATTTAAAGACCTCTCGCATCCCGGACATAAACTGCACACCGGAACAACTAGACACACGAACAGTTTTTTCCCTAAAGTCATCACTCTGCTAAACAAACAATTCTTTCAACACTGTTCAACTATTTACGAAGTCTGCACTACTACTACTATTAATCTTTTCCTCACTTATCACCCATCTCCTCCCACTTGTGACTGTTTGACTATAACTTTGTCGCTTGTATCCTTACGATTTATGCTGACTGTTTCCTAGTATGATTTGATTGCTTATTGTACCCCATGACTGTTATTAAGTGTTGTACCTTATGATTCTTGACGAATGTATCTTTTCTTTATGATCACTGAGAGCATTTGCACCAAGACAAATTCCTTGTGTGTCCAATCACACTTGGCCAATAAATAATTCTATTGTATTCTATTCATTATTTGTTATATTTTTCTATAATTATCCAGAGCAGTTTATTTGGCATCTATCTAGTTAATAGTTATATATTCTGGTTCCCTACCTAGAATTAAAATGGTGACCTGCTCTTGGAAGAATTTGAATATCAGTAAATTAATTTATATCCATTCTGGAATTTTGTCTTATGAAAGTCTTTTTTTCTTTTTCTTTTAGTGTTCAACCACTTGATATCTCTTTTTCTTCTTTCAGGTTTGGGAGACATTTTGAGTCACCCTTACTATTGCAAAGCATTATAATGATAGCCACAATGTTATTGATGCTGAAACTGTGCACTGAAGTACATGTGGCCAATGAGTTGACTATAAAACGACGTTCCTTTTCAGGTTGGTTGAAATCATTGCATATTGATTCTGTATAACGTTATTTCTCCTCTCTTTGGCTCCATTATATTTTGGCAACACTCTGTTTTGATATTTCAACATTTAAAAAGCCTTCCAATTAAGGCAATGTGATTTAGTTTGAAAAATATTTGTGTGTATATGAATATGCCAAATCCTAATCAAAGCAATTCTCATCCAGTGACTCTATTTATTGGAGTAGTGAACTATAGAAGTGGGTTCCGTTGTTCTCCTTCACAAAATTGTAGAAGAAAGATCTTCCCACCGTTCATTCCCGATTGCTACTATATACTCATATGCTTCTAGGTGTCAGATTCATTGCTCTAAACTCGTGTGGCATCCACCTGAAATATCCTTTTGTACTCATTGTTCTGCTCAGAAGCATAACATTCCATCATTTTATGGATCAGTCCTTCCATCTATCACGAATGTCTGATTGTAATAACAAACACTGTGATATATTAGATGAATCGGGACAAGCTAGTCAGCACTCTTATCTCTTAGAGGTTCAGATGGTTTCCATCAAGTTATGTGTGACCTTCAAATACAAAATGTGGGAATAGGGTATGACCATCACATGCATATACATTTCCGTTGCTGTGCAAAAACATTCTATGGTTTTCTCATTCTTCAGCTTTTGTAAGTGTTCATTCTTTTTGTGATAATAAAAAGTTTGTTGATAACAGAAACAAGAGAAAAGGCTGAGGTCATGATCCCATGAAAGATATGTATAATTTACAGACCTGTGCATGCTAATTTTTCCTTCCTATTCAGTTCAGATATGGTAGTGATTTTCAAACTTGGAAACCATTAAGATGTGAGTACTTCAACTCCCAGAATTCCCACTTGGAAAATTCTGGAAATCCACACATCTTAAAGTTAGATAGTGAGATGTGGGAATGCAACGAAGGAAAACTTGCTAGATTTCCTTCCTTCCTTCCATCCATCCATCCATCCATCCATCCATCCATCCATCCATCTGTATGTGCATTCATCCTATTCTCCTAAGTTCATATTTCCCCCTTTCTGATTGGATGGTTGGCTTCAGTATGTATACAACCACGTCCTTCATGCATGCAACTGATTCTGGGTGGGATTTAATGGTTTTCACATTACTTAACACTGACAGAATGGGCTGTTTACATGAAATGGACAAAATATGTTACATGAAACAAATATTTAATGGGAAAATCTCAGAGGATCTGTACACAGTGTATTCTGTGCTGGTTGGAATATTTGTTAAATTGTTGCAAATTATTGGACATTTCCATAAGTTTTTAATCAAAAACTTGTTTTAAGATGCAGTCTCCTCTTTGCTTTTTAGTCATTATTGAGCCTTCACTCTTGGACTTTTTCTTGAGTCACCTGCTTTATGACAGTAAATCCAATCAATCTGTAGCTCAGAGCCTCTTAATTTATATAGCCTACATTTCTGGCCTGTTTTTATTTGAAACCTGCCCTGCATAAGAAGAGTAATTCGCTTAAATATATCCTCCTTATGATTACCATAGTAAGCAATATACACTAGAGGTTTTTCCTGAAATGTCTGTTTCTAATTTTAATGCAGGTTTTTTTTTGTCATGTTCTTGTATGATTTAAAACATTGAGTTCTAGAATTAATGATCTGAAATATCCAAAAACCTGTTTTGATAGTTTGCATTGTTGGCTTTTTGTTTTGAATCCATGCTTTTTATTTTTATAAATGAATTTGTAAATGTGAATGTTTGGGGAGGTGTGAGTGTGTATATATGTGTAAGAGATATGTGGTGATCGAAGGCAATTGTTGACTTTGTTTCAACGTCCATCATAGCAATTTTCTAGAATTACAAAATTTAGAGAGAATTGTTTTGAACAGAATTTAGCTGCTTTTATCAAACAATAGAACTTGTTGGCTACAGAGAATGAAAACAATTGCTAGTTTTGTATCCTTTTGGATAAGTGGATATAGCTTAAGATTTTATTTGTTATTCATATTGTAATTCAATTATTGACATTTAAGATAAGCTTGTTGTACGTATTTATCTCTTGAATTATTGGCTGGAATGTAAAGCATCATTTATCAACAGTCTTAGATGAGGTCTTTCATGCTCTTTTGATTTAGCTAAATAAACCTTTGCTTACATTTTCCCCTCACAATCCTCTTAGCAAAAAAAATGTTATGTGGTATAACTAATATAACTTCTTGATACTGATCAATGCATTCAGTATTTGCTTAAGCTATGGTTCTTCTACATTTATGTTTTCTAATTGTTTCTTTTATTTTTCTAAATTTTGGGGAGCACATATGAATGACTAATATCAGAATCCAGCAAATTAAATTGTTCTTTTACATATATAAAAAAGCATTCTAGCATGATGACTGTCATCAAGCTACCTTAACTTTAAGGTAATTTAGAGCACTTTCAGACCTTGCTATTATGAGGAGTCAAACTGCTTTGTTTTGTCTGCTTTCTCTTCAATATTTTAATATAGCTGCAGATAGTAAGGATGAAGAAATCAAAACAGCTCCCAAGAGAACCTTTCTAGGTATGTACTTTAGAAACCCTTGTTGCATGAGGGTGCCATTGAAACACCATCTATTCTCCACTGCTTTTTTGTTTTTGCTTGGGATTTAGTTTATTGTGTTGGGGTTTCTTCTTGCCATTTTAGAAATGAATGCATGCTTATCATTTCTAAGAAGAAACTACATCTTTTTAACAGCGACATCTTCATTTGGGCTTTATTACTAAGGGAGAAGGCGCATTCAATTCTCCATATGTGTTCTCCATATTTCCCCACCCCTGTTATTTCCATGACCAGATTTGACATTATAGGATTTATCCTCTTAAATTTACTTTATTCATCATGTTTCATTCAATGGTTTGTGTTTTACTCATCAATTTGTGACAATTGGATGGGATTTTTTTGTATGTGTTTGTGTGTGAACAATATACAGACACATTTAAAAGTATTTGCATGCACGAGTGTACACGTGTATAATATCAATCAATGCACTGCAGAGTGAAAGTCTAATTTGAAGGTTATGGGCTAATCTATCACAATGGTGCATTGTGGGTTAATGGGTAGATTTTTTTTTTTGACTTCCCAGTCTAGGGATAAGAATTGGCCCAAAGCCATCCAGCTGGCTTTTGTACCTAAGAAAGGACCAGAGCCTGGGTTTCCCCACTCCTTGTCAACATTTCCACTGGTTTAGTTTTTTTTTTAATTTGTTTACTTAAATAATTATACATAATCTGTGCTTTTCCTAGGTTGGAATGTTGGTTTCCCAGTCATTTGAGCATTTGAGAAACTATTGTGTGGAATAGTAAATAATAATTGCCATCTTGAGATAATCATATTAAAATGCACATATGGCTGTTTTCAAATATCAGACATTCAAATATCAGTCATGAATTCTTGCACTGATTTCCTTTTAGCTTCTGAATACTGGTTAAAAGTCTGGTCCTAACATATCAAGTGTTGTAAGGCCCTGTGGCTGCAGGGCCACTCCCCCCACTACAGTTTATTCTACTCTATTCCTGCCAGAATAAGCAGCTGCTTATCCTCTATTTTGGAAAGGATAGATGGTCATAGCCAAAAGCACTGCCTCCTCTCAGAGATGGAAAAGTTGACACTCTTGGAGATTGGTTTTTACCCAACATTGTTGGATAAAGAAACTGAATACAGAGCTCTTCCAGAGGGGTTTTGGACAATGTATATAATATGTCATTCTTTCCAGATGTGTGTATGTGTATACACACACATACACACATATACATATATACACATACATATACATACACACACACACACACACTCACACATATATATATATCATTTGGCATTAACTTCAGAGTAGAAATTGAACTTCTTCCCTTCCTTTTCAGTAGTCCAGAAAACTACTTAGTGTCCTTAATTGTCTTCACTATGACTACCAAGAAAAGCAGTACAAAGCTTTTATCCTCATGCTTTATCCAGAAATCTAATTGTTCTTATGCCACGCAGCAGCTGGATTATCCATTTTTGAAATAGAAACAAAATATTGGTCAGGCTTATCTATGCAAAAATAATAGAGAAAAATGGATATACTGTGCAGATTTTTGTTCTCATTAAGCCTTTGGCTTATTTAGAGTTAATTAAAAAAATACCCAATGATGAATTGTTGGTCTTAATCATTGAATCTCTCTAAGAAAGAAGATTCAATTAAATAACGTTCAATGTGTTATCTTAAAAGAATCTTTCTCTAAGTCAAGACACAGTGCACAAACTTTTTACTGTAGAGTTGTTAGCACCTGAGAAAGTTGTTCTGTGTTAATGCTATTGTGGTTTAGTTGCATTTTTGTTTGATGGCTAAACATGATTCATCTAATAAAGCTGTGCTTTGTTCTCAACTAGCTTTTTAAATTGCTTCCAACTTTAAACCCAGATGCTGACTAGGGTGCATTGTAATCCTCACTCAGCAGTGCCAGTGGTTGAGATTATAGAATCAAGGTAGGGAACTATTAATTTAGATAGTTGCTCTGTCAGGTCTTTAGCTTTTAAAGCTAATTTCCTTTTTATCTGAAAGGAGAACAAGTACTTGTGCTATGTCTCTTGATTTGTTGTCATTACACTTTGAAGTTACTATCTTTTTATGATTTGGCTAGTTTGAATTTTTTTTTCCTACTTAGTTTTTCTGTTTAGTGTTTAGCATCCTGCTTTAGGGTTGTTAATGCTACAAGGTGATAATATTGATAAATAACATTTTTTCCAGTAGTAAGCACTCTTGGGGAGTTTCAAATTTGGTAGTGATTGTCATCAAAAGATGCCTCCTGCTTCAGTTGGGATCTGTACATAATAGAAGTGTATAAAGAGAAACTTCACAATATGTGGGAATATATGTGGGAATATATGTGGGATTCCCACAATATGTGGGAAACGAAGCTGTTCTCTCATCTTATTGTTAAAACTGCATATTTTGCATGCATCCTTGGTTTGAAATCTGCTTTGGCTGGGTTTTTTTTGTGTACATTCAGGCACAGCCAGTTCTTTCTTGTTCATGTAGAAACAGTCAGGAACAGCTTCCAGAGCACCTCACGTATGAGCCATGTAAGGAACACGACTGCTTTAATGACTGAAAAGGAAGAGCTTCATTTGCACTCCTGCACATTCCAAAGCACCTTTTGAATTAGGAATGCATAAAATTAGTTGCACAAGCATTTTGTATGCAGAACAACTATTTTGGATGGCCTGTATCTATTATGAGACTCACAAACTTGTGTTTGGGGGGTGGGGGAGTTTTGGAAGAGAAAGGGAACAGACCAAGGACCAATTCAAGAGGTGCACAACAAAGCTTAGTGGAGATAAGGAAAAATGTGCTGGGAAGATGGCCGCCAGATGACTGGTTCAGTATGCTATATCTTGAACCCAAGGACATTGGTAGCTAAAGAAGAGCTAAAGGGAGAAAGGGAAAAGAAGATGTTATGAAAATCAACAGGTGAGGTGTAGCCCAAACCAGGAAGAGAAGGGAGGGGTGAGATGTACTGGCCGTGTCATCTTTACCTCAAGATTTTGGCTGAATCAGAATAAAAATATGTCAGAGTACTGTTCTGCTGAACTGCAGCCCACCTGAAACGTTTTGGAAGAAACTCTGAAATACAGTTTGGGGGTGGGGTAGAAGTTGAAAGAAAACACATACTCTCCTTTCATACCCAACCTTAATATAAATGATAAACTTTCCTATTGATTGTTTTCTGTTTTTGGAGCTGGTTGATATGGTTCATCATGTTGGCTATTGCCAACTTATTTATTGCACAATATTTTTGACCATAAATATTTATTATGTTGCTCTGGGATATTAAAATCTATTATTATAGCTTTAGTATTATATTTCTTTTTCTTATTTTATATATTTTTTCTAATCTTCATTAGGAAAATTGTTAGGAAATTGTTTTTTTTAATAATTCTTATAGTAGGATTATTATAAAAGAATGCTGCATATTCATCTGGGGAGAAAATTACTGTTGCTCTTATCTTAGGCCAGGTACATAGATATAATTTGAATGGGTAAAGATGGTCTTTTTTTTAACAACTTACTATATTGGAGAGGAAAAAAACATTCTTATTTAAAACCGGCCAGGTGTTTTTTTTCTAGCTTTTCCTGTATTTGAAATTTTACTGCCCCTCACTTCCTATAACAATGTCCTTTCCTTCTTCCTTCCCATCTGTTGAAATTACCAGCCAGTTTCCAATTATGAATGTTAATCTAATTATCATTTTGCATAGATTAAAGTAAGATTGTGTCTGCCTAAAGGAAATTTTATTTAAAAATGCAAGATTACATATAAGTATCTTAATTGGTTGGTATATGAATATTTCAGTACCGTTGCCCTATTTTGCATGGTCCCACTTTCGCTAATTATGATAGAATCTATACTGTCTCTGTAACTATTGTATTTTCTATTCCTTATTGCTCTGAACGAGGCCATTTTAAAACCGTATGTGAGAGCCAGAATTGTGCTTTTTCTAACAGAGTTCCATAAAGTTGAGCTAGCACTCCTTCAATTGTAGGAAATAATTTTTGTCTTTGGTATCCAAAGCTGTGATTTTGCTGAGTATGCGGATCTTTGCGGTTTCATTCTAGCGTTCAATTTTATGAAGCTTGCTTGCATCTTGAAAAAGAGAGAAATGATTTTAAAAGGAGATGGAATGAAGACATATTCTGTTAATGTTCCCCAAGTTAGAATTGCATCTCTCCAAATCACCAGTGGAATTGTTTATTGATTATTGGAAATTTTACTTTTGGAGTGCGCTGTGATTGGGTACCCTGCCTTAACTTGTTGCTTCTTATTTTTTTTCTCCTGAAATTTCAGCTGTATAAATAAAATGTTACATTGGATCAGTGATAATATTCAGCAAGGATTATCTTTGCCCATTTAAAGTGAAGAGGATGAAACAATGTAGGATTAATTTATATTTATATAAGGTACCACAGGTACAAGTGTTATCACAACTATTGTAGTCTTTATTAGTTGTGGTAAAGTCACGGCCATTGGCTATAGCAGGGAAGTTCAAGTACGAAGCCCCTAATTAGTTTTCCCTCTGAGTTGATGTTGTGTACATAACTTAAGCTAAGAATCGAGGTAGGTAACAAGAAGGTCCCAAAACATTTCTCTGGGTTAAGAAACAGAAGTGAAAAAGAACAGATCTGATTATGTGGTCATGACCCCAAATACCTGTGGCAGGTTTGTGGTTTTGTCTCAAAACAAGCTCTCCATGAAGCAAGTGTAGGCTTGTGCTGGAAAGTAAAATTGTGCTTCAAATTATAAGGCAGGATGAAGATTTATTAGATTTAAACAAAAGAAACCCAACAACAGGAACTGAATGAGAACATAATTATCCCTAAGAATAAGAATCAAACAAAGCAGCAAGCTCAACAAACAAAAGTGAGAAAAACAAGAGGTATAGAAAATAATCTTCTACACTATTGGAATTCGGTAATAAGCTCTAAGAGAAGGGCCTCAAATTTCTGAGTTTGCAAGGAAGAAACGAGACTGGGCTAGACAGAA